TGTATGGCATAGTTCACAAAAAAGGCAAGATTTGGAAACTAAAATATACATAGCAAGGTCACAGTATCTCTTCAAAGGAATCTTGGGAAAGAATAAGAAGGATGATCTTAATCAGTGATGGTCAGACCTTGATTTTCAGTGACTTCCCTGAAATTTCCCCTTGTTCTCTTAGGAATTTCATTTCTCTAGTTGATCCTGGCACTGACAGCATAATGGTCCATGTTGCTCATTACTTCACAAAGTTCAGTCTTAGAAATATAGTATAGAAAAAAATTTCCTGTTTTTCCTGTATATTTCATATATTTGTATGTATGTTTAACATAAAAATTGAGGTAAAACATTTGGATATAACTAGTGCCTAAATAAGCAACTCCAACAACTTTGAGTGGTTTCTTATAGAAATATTCAAACTATATTTTTAGGTTTTTGAAAAAATCGTATTTGATGAAGTTATAGGTGCCAAAGGTAATTCAGTATGTAAAAAAAGGTTGTATTTATTCAGACTAGAGGGGAAAAGCACTAAAGACATACCATGCTTCTAGGGCTGCAAAGAAAATTTAGCATTTTTTCTAATAACTGAATATTCATTTGAAATATATTTTTTCCATCTTTAAATTATGCATATACTTACCTCCACTTCTTACCAATGTAGTAGAAACTTCATATCCAGGGATAAGAAGGCCCAATAAAGAAAACTATTAGTGCTTGATAAGATAAAATAACAAACATCTGGATTTATAAAAACATAACAATAATACCCAGGATCCAAAAAAACAAAAAATGGAGCTCAAAGCCAGTATGTTCAGCTCAGGTTGAGGTCAGAGAGCCCCTGCAAGGTGATTGCCAGTACTGATAATCTTGGGACTTTTATGGTATCATGGGTTTCTGTGTTGAGCTTTGTGTTTGGGTTATAGGGCAAGATAGAATCATATCCCAGTATAATGTTGGGATCCTAGAGAGGCTATACTCAGAATAATACTAGAAATATGCACCTTTGGCAAATGTTGGTACTTAGTGCATTTAACTCTTTTGGAATAATTACTGAAAATCTCCTTATGTGACTACAATCCTTTCCTCACAATATTTGGAGTTCAGACTTAAAATACTTGCCTGACCAGAAAATCCCAAGGTAAGAAATGAATTTAAGATGGTCTTTGATTGATAACATCCCAGAGTGCCTCGTAGCAGCAAACACAAATGCAGTCTGGAGGGACCCAGCCTCAACCCGGGGGGTCACAGAGTTTGAACAGATAAAGACCACCAAACATGAGCTCATGATTTCAAACTCCAGGGTCACACAGGGAAATAAGAGCTATGAGCAGGAGGCAGAAGAAACCACAAAAATCAGAACTGGACTTCCCTAAAACTTAAGATAATGATTTATCAGATAAATGCCTAGAATGTTTTTAAATAGTTATATATCACCTGAGTAAAAAAGTAAGATTGTATCAAAAAGGAAATGAAACGGGAGGAGAAGCAGATAAAACTTCTGGAAATTAAAAATATGATGGCAAAAATGAAAAGCTCACGTGGGCCTATTGAATGGCAAGTATTACTGAATCACCTGATTCACCTGATTCTAGTGAAATTACATAAAGTGCCAAACAAAGACATAGAAATGGTAAAGAGGGGTTCAGAGACAAAAAAAAAAAAAAAAA